CAAACGAGGCAGGCAGAGGCAGAGAGAGATTTTGTAAAAAATAAATAAATAATATTTACTTACGTTAATTTGTCCAAAAGCTGGCGAGTTCATTCTATTAACATCATGGTAGCTTGAATTTGGCGCATTTTGTATGTTAGTAAATTGATGCGCAAACGACCCACTTGGAGAATAGTAAACATTTCCTGAAGGTCTAACAATGAAAAAACTTATTAGGTAGACGTATATTAATTTAAAATTATTTTTTTAAAGAAATTATAGATCTTACTAGCTGTTGCCCGCGACTTCGTCCGCGTAGAATAATGACTTCTGGCAGAATTTAGGCTTTTGAATTAGTTTTTATCAAGGGATATTCTACGGTAATGGATGTCGTCAGAATTGATTCAGTCCCGTCGATGATAGCGTGATAATATGTAGCCTATATGTTTACCAGACTTGTTAGTAATATTCATGCAAAATTTGAAATAGTAGTGCAGTACTTTTTGAGATCATCACGGCCATACATACAGACAAACAGACAAAAATTCTAAAAACCACATTATTGGCTTCGGTATCGATTAGAGATCACGCTTCAAATATTCTTTTAAAAAATATTCAATGTACAGTTTTAACTTTTCTACGATTTATTATATGTGTAGATAGCTGTTGCCCGCGACTTCGTCCGCGTAGATTAATGACTTCTGACAGAATTAACCAGAATCAATTCAGTGCCCAAGTAAGATTTACCTATTTTGAAATGATTTATCGTAGTTTCAATAAATAAATAATCCCGCAGGGATCTTACCAGTACAGTGCCCGATCACGTAAGGTTTGAGTAATAAAAACTATTCTATCGACTATTGTTGTACCGAATCTCTCTAGAATAAGTTCAGTGGTTAAGAGTTAGAGAGTCCTGGGGCATTGACGCATAGTTCCCGTTCTCGTGAGACATCTGTGAAAAAACTATCATACGTTACCCAGGTCCCAAATCATCGTTTTACCGAATGTAATTCAAAAAGATTCAATGATTCTAAATTCAACGGCTAAGAAGATTTATACAAACTCTCATTCCCTATTTTATCCCCTTAGGGGTGGAATTTATCAAAATCCTTTCTAAAGAGATACCTATGTCATAGTAACTTTATGCATGCAAAGTCTCAGCCCGATCAATTTAAAACTGGCAAAGTATCATACTTTGGGGTGAGAATGTTCAAAAACCTTTCTAAAGGGACGTTTACGTCATAATATCCATCTGCACGCCGAATTTCAACCCGATCGGTGTAAAACTGACAAAGCCTCACACAAACGTTCATCCCCTATTTTACCCCCTTGGTGGAAATTATCAAAATCCTTTCAAAGCGGATGCTTACGTCATAACATCTATCTGCATGCCAAATTTCAACCTGATCGGTTTAAAACTGACAAAGGCTCATATAAACTTTCATCCCCTATTTTACCCACTTGGGGGTGGAAATTATCAAAATCCTTTCACAGCGGACGCCTACGTCGTAACATCTATCTGCATGCCAAATTACAACCCGATCGGTTTAAAACTGACAAAGGCTCATATAAACTTTCATCCCCTATTTTACCCACTTGGGGGTGGAAATTATCAAAATCCTTTCATAGCGGACGCCTACGTCGTAACATCTATCTGCATGCCAAATTACAACCCGATCGGTTTAAAACTGACAAAGGCTCATATAAACTTTCATCCCCTATTTTACCCACTTGGGGGTGGAAATTATCAAAATCCTTTCATAGCGGATGCTTACGTCATAACATCTATCTGCATGCCAAATTACAACCCGATCGGTTTAAAACTGACAAAGTCTCATACAAACTTTCATCCCCTATTTTACCCCCATTGGGGGTGGAAATTATCAAAATCCTTTCACATCGGATGCTTACGTCATAACATCTATCTGCATGCCAAATTTCAACCCGATCAGTTAAAAACTGACAAAGTTTCATACAAACTTTCATCCCCTTTTTTACCCCCTTGGGGGTGGAAATTATCAAAATCCTTTCTTAGCGAATGCCTACGTCATAACATCTATCTGTATGCCAAATTTTAGCCCAATCTGTCCAGCGGTTTGGGCTGTGCGTTGATAGATCACTATGTCAGTCAGTCAATCAGTCAGTCAGTCAGTCAATCACCTTTGAATTTTATATATATAGATTAACGTACCTAACTAAGGAACTCTAGATTCTAGATACTAAAAGGACTCAAACTCACCCACCGTAAATTACCTACTTATGATGTAAGTACAAATGCTACGGGCTACGAGCTACAAATTCGAGAATAAGTCGAACATAAATAAGACTCGAACAACACAAATAAACTATCGAGACTACTTAGTGCAACACATTTTACTTACACCATATTGTTTTTCCCTGCATTCACTGGAAAATGAATCAATTGATTTCCCTGTGGATAATCTGTAAAAAATTTAAAGTTGTACTTAATTTTTAAGTTATTTGACCCCGATTTTTTGTGGTTCATATTTCACAAAATATTAGTCACCTGCAGCAACTCTTGGCTCCCTAATAACGTATCGATCCATTTTTCCTGCAACTAGTAATCACTAAGTTACCTTATATTTTACAAAACAAAATATAATATTTTTTTTAATTTTAAAAGTTTGAACATATAATTGGCGCCAATTTTCAATTTTCCTAAATAATGAATCGTTCTTGTGTTGTTTTATCTCAATGAAATTTTTTAATGAACTTTTTTTAATGGGTAGTCTTGGTAACTTTGTATTTAGCCAGTATTAAATTGCATGATCGTGATAAAAATAAGTTTATTCGGTTATAATATATTTTAAAAATAGGTACAACTCACTTGAGCTATAATAATATTGTAAATAAAAGATAAAAATACATAGATAATAATTATTTTACGTTTAGACTTTACAAGTCTGCAAACATTAGGCTGGTTAGGTTCTTTAAAGTGTTACTAACTTCGTGAACAAACATCAACATTTTGACGTTTTCATTAGGTACTCAAGGGACAAATCGACAAATGTGACAAGTGACATTTGACATTGACATTTCCATTTTTCAATTCTTGTCGTCGATTTCGTATGAATCACTATAGTTTTTGTGTATTATTTAGGAAATAAAATACATTACAGATATTCAAACATTATGGAGCTTCAAGATACTTATTACAATAAATCAGAATATGTAGAAACTGTAAGTTACGTTGGTTAATAGATATTTCTTTCTACTAGAAACATTCTATAATTTCAATTTCAATAAACAATCTTATAATATTTTACAGGCTTCGGGAAATAAAGTAAGCAGACAAACAGTACTATGTGGATCTCAAAACATTGTTCTACACGGGAAGGTAATAGTTCAAAGTGATGCAATTATTAGAGGAGACTTGGCCAATGTTAAAACTGGAAGATTTTGTATTATAAGCAAAGGCTCTGTGATAAGACCTCCTTTCAAGAAATTTAGTAAGGGGTAAGTCACACTAATCCTATACATTAGTTTATTGAAGCAAAAGTATACTTACCACTGTGGGATAAAAATCTTTATTATTATTGAATCATACCAGACCTTACTCTGATTAAGGATGTTGAGAAAAGGTGATCACTGTCTTGAAACAACGACAATGGCACCTGGTTACTGTAGACTTGGACGCACATATAAATAACCCACTGACATTGTGGTGCTTCAATCATTTCTAAGTATCATTATGTCTGCCTTTTTTTTCAATATACTTGTCTCCCATTACAAATTTTGTATGTTTCTAATTCATAGGGAATTATAACTAGACAAATATATATAATTAGGCATAATGTAATACATAGACTGTTATGACACCACAGACCACAAATAAAAAGTTTTATTTATTTTTCAGGGTTGCCTTCTTTCCTTTACAAATGGGAGATCATGTGTTTGTTGGTGAGAACACTGTTGTGAATGCTGCAGTTGTCGGATCCTATGTCTATATTGGAAAGAATGTTGTTATTGTAAGTATTTTTCTAGTAAACAACTAGTCTTCGAACAATGGAGATGTATTTAATTGTCATCTAATCTAAAGCTTATAAAAATATTGAGAAATCTATCAAATTGATTGTCATTTTTAATGCAGTCACATAGAACTAGTCACTATTTGGTAGTAATGTGACCAATAAAAGAACTTCTGTGAAGTATATTAATAAATATATGAATAAATCAATAAACATCATGATATGGTAACCCATTGACAGATAATGTCAAAACATTATTTTAAAATAATTTTTTCTAAAGCATTCTTCAATTTTACAGGGTCGAAGATGTGTACTAAAAGATTGCTGTATGATTGAGGACAACTCCGTACTACCAGCTGAGACAGTGGTGCCCTCATTTGCAAGATACTCAGGCAGTCCAGCTCGCCTCATAACCACACTACCAGAAGCAATGCCAGATCTCATGACAGAATTCACTAAGAGTTATTATCAACATTTCTTACCGACCACTGTACAATAAATTGTATTAATTTGCTAAAACACATACTTGATACTTATTTATTTTATACTTCTGTTATAGTTTTATTTGTAACTTTATTACTATGTATTATTAGTACTGTAATGCTAAGTAACACTCAAATGTTGTAAGAGTATATTATAAGGCTTGATTAAAATGATGGTATTTTTATTATATTTTTATATAAGCAAAAAATTATTAAATCTGCTTCTGTGATGTGTCACACAAAGGTCCACACCACTGGAGCAGGCTAAAAAAAATATTATTCCTAGATTCCCGGCCACTATATGTCAGCTGTACAGTGCAGGCAAAGTTGTTGTAATCATGGTTTTTTATGGGATAAACCGGTAAATGAGCATACGGATCACCTGATGGTAAGCAATCGGCGCCGCCCATAGACACCTGCGTTACAAGTGCATTACCGGCCTTTTGGGAATTCGGATTTTGAGGATTGTGGGGGATGTGTAAATTTTGGTTTTTTGTAAATTAAATGTGAACTCACAAAAATATAAAAATATTGAAAAAATTGCTCCAAAATTCAAAACATTTAAGTTGAAGTCTAAAGTAATGCATTATGTAACGCGGCAATTCGATTTTGGTTTGTGTCGGACGCACGCGCGCAACTCTAGTGGAAACATGCCACCTCTCTATTCCTCTTCCCCCGCTTCCCCGCCACTGACCGCTCGACGCTTGCGAGGCGAGAGAACAACGAGTCCCGCGCCGGAGCCGTGACGCACGCGTAGTGATGTGCCGTTCTCGAGAACGTTCTCCTACCTGAGAATATTGCCGGCAGCGTTCCCGGCAACGTTCTCCTAAGTGAGAATGACTGAGAATCATTTTTATCTAATGACAATAACCATATTTTTCTAAAATAAAATAATATCAAATGAAGTCAACAGATTATTGAGTATAAAAAATACACTTTATTTGCAGTAAAAGACTATATTCCCAGTGTTAGCAAATATTCTCGAGAATATTCTCGGGAACTTTCTCGGCAATGTTCTCAGTATTACTGTACCTTTGATATTTTTTTTGTGTTATATTGTATTATTGATATGGACGATGACAGCACTTTCTTTTTACACGTATGGAAATAATGGACGGTTAAAAATGTTCGTTTATTTGACATTAAATATATGTTTGTTTTAGGTACAAATAAAATGGTCAAAATAAAACAATATTTTGCAATCAACTCCGTTTAATGAGACTAGAAAACACCAATTTCACTAATTACTACAATATTCACAAACACTGAGTGAACACTTTAAATAAAATCTGACTAAAAAGTAAAGATACTAACTTAAAATAAATCAACAGCTATTTAAAGATGATTAAAAAAATATCGAATCAGAACTAAACATGTAAAAATTAACAAAGGATATTAAAATAACAATATTTAACGGACTTTCAGATATAATGAACACTTTGCAATCTGATTTTTTTTTAAATAGTATGGTAATACCGTTTTCGTACAAGAAAATAATTCTAATCTATCGCTAGACGATCTTCAAGAAGTAATGGTTCTTCTTGAATATCCTGAAACTCGTCAAAATCAAAAGTTTCCTATGGAAACTTTTGATTCAAGTATAGATTCTTCATGTTATGAATCACTTTCGTGGTTTGCTGAGGTAGATGACGCCGACTGAATCGTAGAATATAATTCGTGAGTTTCGTGACTCTGTGTTTGTGTCTTATTTGAGGAATTAGGAGTTTTGTTCATGAGCTTCCAATTATGAGCCACTTAACACAGTTTTCCAGCTCGATCAGTCTTTAATTTGTTCTTTTTCTGGATATGTATCTTTGAAAATGTTGAGAAACTCCTTTCCACAGTTGCCGTTTTTTTAGAGCAGCTCTTCCCAAATCTGAGTTGGGAAAAAATACGTTCCAACAAGACAAAGGTTGAATCGTGGATGCTGATTCCCAAAGAAAACTTTTGTCGTAAATGCCAATTCGTCCTTTGTAATTTGCTAAATCTTCAAGGATTCTTGGTCCGTTTGTCCCGTATCCACACTGTGCAATGTTCATTATTGCCTGGCAGCCATCGAGATTTGCGTTAGCAGGTAAAGTTGTACCTTGGTTGCCAGGGTCCAAAATAGCGGCTGCAAAATGAACTGATTTTAATGCAATTTGTTTTCTTTGTGTAAACTTAGCCAATATTTCTTCTAAATGGTTTTCGAATATTTGGATTGCATTTTCGGAATGAAGCAAATCTTCGATTTCTGTAAACGCTTGGTGAATAAATGAATTTTTGCGAAATGAATTTTTCCATCGTCTCCTTCTAATTTCGTTATCCAATCTACTGTTGGCTTAAAAATGTTTGCATGCCACTCTATTTCAACCCATGTAGCTTCATCCAAAATATTTTTCACGAAAAGAATGAGCAGGACAGTAATATCTCACTTACTCACTTATACCTTGCTTCTAAGGACTAGTCCTAGCGCCGAGGTAATAAAACAGAAACACTGTAGGTACATAATATCATCTATGAATGTACAAAAACATCGAATTACAAAGTAAATTTATTTTGTTGAGAACATTGAGAATATTCCCGGGAGCGTTCTAGTTTCTTGAGAATATTCTCACTGGCAATATTGCCGGCAACGAGAACGTTCTCAGTGGCACATCACTACGCACGCGCTCCGTATTTGTGCCGCGAAATATTTGAGTTTATGTTTTATCCCATTGTGTTATTGTGCAACTTTGTTTATATAGTTTATTCCAATATACAACATTTTACAGTCATTCGTGTGTCGAACTTTATTTCACGCCCCTGAGAACCCACCACCAAGAAGACAATCTTCAACAATATTACAAATTGTTAATAAAATTAAATAATCGCAACCGCAATGACTGTTATTGACAGCTGGGAAGGAGGAGTTGTTTTCTACATAATTAGGAGAGAAAGTATTTAATTCCTACTATATAGTAGCTGCATAATATTTGGTGAATAGTGGGTGTTAGGTACACTGTGAACACGCTGACCATGCATATTACCATAGGTTTTCTTAGTAAACTGTAACAAATTTCGTTGATTAACTCTTACAATTTATGAAGGGCTAAATTTAGAAGAGGGCATTATTGTTCTATCTTCGCTTGAATTTACTTTGTGTTTATTTTAAAACACTCTTCCGTCCGCTTTTATTAGTTCGTACTTGTACACTCTTGTTTCCAACGCCCATGGTATTCTCGTTCTTGAACGGGCTGCATGGGTTAATGTCATTGTATTAACCATGTGTTCATTTTTATTCTTATAAAATAAAATATTTGTAATTATAGGTTTTAGAAAAAAAACAGTACCTATAACATGAAAACTTTTTACTCAAGTTGAAAAAAGTGGATCGCTAAAATTGCGTGAAACGAAACGTAGTTACAGTTTGATGTGAGGTTTGATGACAAGACGCGAGTTCATTTTGTTTTCCAACAAAGATATTGTATTATTTCTGTGTCTCATATTTCTAGCAAATGAAAGGCAAGTTGTCTCATATCCGATACAGTGTTAGCACAACTTTTATGTTGAGTAACTTGAAAATATTCCTGATTGCAGTCGTCGAACCCATGTTATATTTCGTTTTATTTTAAATTAAAATCTTACTAATTGTAAGTTTTGAGTGAAATTATTTACTATAGATGTTGTGAAATAAATCAAGTGAAACAGAATTAGTATGGAATATCACTATTCCGACCTTTGTATGCCGACGGATCATCTGCTAACTGGTGCGTATTGTTTTTCATTGGTAATCTCTAATCTAAAAACATAATATAAGTGTAATATTGCTAATTTGGTTGATTAGAAAACATCCTTAGATGAAGACCTCAGTTAGATGCTTTGTTGCGACTGGTGTCACATCTTTAAGCATTCAAACCAAAAAGAAAAAGAAAACAAAAGTTTACTGCATTGCTGAGTTTAAGCAGCAAAGGCAATATGTTTGATAATTCTCTGAGTCAATTTTACCTATTTTTTAAAAAGTATAACAAAAATCATATCGAGGGGTAACGGACTATTTGGTTTAAACTGTCAAACACCAAGCGGTCACCGGTGACCGCAACCTATTGTTCTATAATTGTGTCTACAAAACCGGTACTCGACGAGTTAAGCGACATTTTGGGCGATATTGAGTTATATATATATTCGGAATCAGCGAATTTTTCTCCATCGAATATATATAATAACTCAATATCGCCCAAAATGTCGCTTAAACCAAATAGCCCGTTACCCCTCGATATATCATCACCACTGTCACTATATATAGAAAAGTTTTTTCAAAGCATATAAGTTTAGTCTACTTTGATCAACTGCTTATTTTTAATCAACTGAATGACCACTAAATCTTCCAGAGTGTATATTTATTTACCAACCCAATTCTTCTAATAAAGTTCAAGATTTGTAATACCAAAAACCCTTGTAATAAGTTTGTATCAGAAAATAAATTTCACTTGTATTTTCCTTGTGTCATTTGCTATCTAATGCTGCTATGTAATTTTTTATCATTTATTAGATTACCAATTTTATTAGCCAGGCACCTGGTTAAGCTAAGAAAACTGTTTAATGAGCTCAATAGGCACCTAATTACTTTCACTTTTCATCAACTAAATTATTACCTAGATAAATCTACCTAGCCAGGTACTAGATTAACTTAAATGTCACCGAATTAAAGTTTATAATTGAATATTTTTATAAGAAACTCTGTACTTATGTGTACCTAGACAATTAAACTTATTGTTAGTCTCAGATTTAGTAATCTATCCACACCTTGTTAATTGACTTCAATAAAACTAAAACATAATAATTAGTTACTGTTATCTATAAGGAAAATATTTAATTATTGTTATGGATGTTCTTATTGCTATTATCAAGGAATAAATTGTTCATTTGAAATAGTGGATGTTTTCCACTTGATTTCATTAGTTAGTTATAGCTAACAGTGCTTTTTAGTGGCCCAATTTTTGTTGACATAGATAATAATATGATTGGCATAATAATATCAACTAGTATGCAGTAGTGCATGTGCTTACATACATACACTCATGCTTGTCATTTGAGGACACTAATAAATAACAAATCATAGTTGCCTTTGAACAATCACTTGATCTTTCATACCACATATACTACATAATACTTAAAATATGTCACATAGGTCATCAGTGATTAATGTTAGCAGAACATTTAACTTTCAACACTTTACAGTAAGCAATCAATGTTTTAAAGAAATTAACTTTACATTCCAGGACCATATGCCGCAGAATATGCTCCACAATACTTGGTACCGAAGCAATCAGCGGAATATGAGGTGCGGTCCAGTGTACTTGTGGATGGGGGAGACCGGTTCGGGGTGTCCGCTGTGGTGTTTGACAAGTATGAAGAGCTGATATGGATGGGGAATCAGGGAGTGAGTAAACTTTTATAATAATATGGTCTCAATCAAAAGCTGTAAATTTATTTTCAGAAATGAGGTCGCATCTCAAGAAGAATTTAATTAATTTCACTGGAGTTCAGCCAAGCAAAGTTCATTATAATGCATTATTGATTTTTATTTTTTATCATTTAAATATTAATGGAATTCATAATTACTCAAAACTATGATTTTTGACTTCACTTTTTATTGATGGTACAGATTTTTTATAATTCGTAATATCGTGAGACATACTAAATTAAGTAAAATCGCTGGTTACTTACGCAGTGAGCGGCGCGACGTCTGTGGTTCGAAACTAGTATAGCTTTTCTCAGTATATTCACGTGAGAAACCCGCGATTTTACCTAATTAAGATAGTACAGATTGATTATTGATATATCATTATCTATGCCTGTTTAAATAATATGATAATTAATGTTGGTTTTACTGTTACTCAATCAATACTTCCAAATGTTTGCCTCTAACCATCTATATTATTGTTTTATAGGGTCATGTAACATCATACTATGGACCTGGAATGCAAAAGTACACATCTTTTCAAGTACATGAGTCGGAAGAAGTGAGAGATATCATAACTGTTGAACAAGGTATATTTGCACTTACAAAGACAACTTTAAGACATCAAATACGAAGAGGGATTCCGAAACGGACTTTCAAGTAAGTTTTCATATTAATTTAAAGTACGAAAAACAAGTGGAGACAGTTTGTCCAGCAGTGAACGTCTTTTGGTTGTAGATGATGATGATGATGAAAAACTATTCTCTGCTATTCTTTTACTACATGGAGACATGTTACTTCGATTTAAAGTAGCAAATTTTATCTTTGTGTCAAATTACATTCAAATTCATTCAGTATCTTTTGCATTCTCACAAACTTTGTTTTTATAATAACTATCGTGAGACATACTAAATTAACTGAAAATCGCGGGTTACTCACGTGAATATACCGAGAAAAGCTCTACTAGTTTCGAACCACAGAGGGGTTCTTCCTCTAGAGCAGCGTGCGCGGTCGCGGCGATGTCGCGCAGTCTACTGAGAGTAGGCGTAGGTGTGGTTCGAAATTAGTAGAGCTTTACTCAGTATATTTACGTGAGTAACCCGCGATTTTAGTTAACTCGCCAACTTTGTAATATCAATAGGAATAGAACTAACTATTGGTCATTAAAAATGAATGTTTATTTATGTTTATCGTTCAATGGTTTGTTTTTCTTTCTAGATCACCTAATATGACAGATATGCAATGCCTCTTCCAAGTGAGTGCTACTAAATTGATGATGGGAGGACATCAGAACAAATTAATTGACTTAGATCTCAACAGAATGAGTGAAACTGCTATTGTAAGTAAATCAGTCACATTATCTTTTAACTTAACATAACATAACATCACGCCTTTTATCCCCGAAAGGGTAGGCAGAGGTGCACATTATGCCACTGTACAATGTAACACCCACTTTTTACTATTTATGTTATGAGTCCCATGTAATAGGGGGTGAGCCTATTGACATATACCAGGGACAATTCCAGACTCTTTTAACTTTTTCTGACATAATAATATGAATTCAATAACCAATGCCCGAATACTGGAAGGCTGTACTTAAATATCGTGCCATCTCTGTCATTTTACAAAGAATTTGCAGTGACAGAACTATACTTAAACACGACTTAAATTTGAGGAATGTATAAGTATGTTTATTTAAAATGGTCTGTGTCTGTTAGATTATGTCGAATTGTCCATTTTTCGACGTTAATTTGGAATCTGTCACAGAAAAGCGAAGTGGTAACTTTGACACTTATAATTAATTTTAACATGTTACCTAATTTTTAATTTATAAATAATGATGTTTATAGTAAACAAATCGTATAATTATCCTATCTATTTCATAAACAATTTGTTTCTTCAACATTTACAGCCTATCCAAGAAGAAGGTTGCGCAGTGCTGCGTAGTGGCGGTGGTTCTTTAGTGGCATGTGGTAGTGCCAATGGAATGGTCGCCTTACGGGACATTCGGACCCCGACCACAGCCGAACATACCTTTACAGCACACTCCGCTTGCCTCTCAGACTTGGACATGCAAGGAGATTTACTCATCACTTGTGGATTTACGCAATCGTATGTATTTTTTAGCTCAAGTTTTATTATTGTCCATTTACATTTTGTTATTCATTATCACTCTAATGCCGGAATACTGAAACGTTACTCAATTTTAAGTTGTGCTTAAATATCGTGCCATCTCTGTCATTTTACAAAGAATTTGTGGAGACAAAACTATACTTAAACCCTCGAGCGTTCGTTATGAGCACCCGGTGGATCATAAGAAAAAATGCTCCAAATGTCACGTGTGCACCCGTTGGATCATAAGGAACGCGGAGGCTTGACGGGTTAACCGCGACTTAAAATTGAGTAGCGTTTTAGTATTCCGACATAAGTTTTATGACGCATAAATATTACTTCCATATAGGAAAGAAATTTATCTATATCAATGAGTTAAAATCTATTTGGATTTCTTCAGTACTGTATTGGCACGTACGACATTTATTATCGACGATGACGTACGTGCCTACTGCAGTATTATGGATGTTTCATAATGGTACCTACGTTATATCTCGTTGTGGTCATGTCATATTTTAAAATTTAGATTTTAAATTATTAATGAGGTTGCATTTCCCATATTTCCGCAACATAATTAACGATTAATGTTGTAAAAGTTGTAGCAGATTATCCAGCCCCACAAGTGTAATAGGGATGATGACAGGGTATGAAAATTGAAAATCTATTTAGTCTGTCAGTTAGGTAATGAAAAAATATTATAAATAAAATACATGTCTAATACTTAGATCAAATGAATCAAAGTTTGGGAGTGGGAGCTAAAACGTCATTTCTACGTATAAAATGTACATAGAAGTGACGTCACGTGACATTTCAAATCAATATATCGTCGAAAGTATTCGTTTCTATAAGAAAATAAAAAATACGTGTCTAATGTTTTAAAATAATCTACCAGACGGACATTAAAATGAAAAATTAGGCATCTACCCTATTCTTTAAAATATAAATCCCTTCTTTTTCACCAGCGTGGGTATGGCAGTAGCCGAGCCCTATGTGTTAGTATGGGACGTTCGTTGTCTACGTGGCAACAGTAAGCCGGGTGAAGGTGCCTGGTCACTGCCCACAGTGTCGCCGCCATTGTTACTGCACTTCCTGCCCGCGTTCTCCGGTAGAGCAGTCGCGTTGTCCGGCGACGGCCATGTTGCTTTGTTACATGTTAACGCACCTAATGCTACTGAGCATTCTGTCTTTCAGGTGAGTTTTAACTAAAAATGGTACAGATTGTACTAAAACAAACAAATATTAAAAATGTCAGACTGCCTCGTTGGCCGAGTGGCCGCAAGTGCGACTGCCGAGCAAGAGGTCTCGGGTTCGATTCCCGGGTCGGGCAAAGTATTACTGGATTTAAAAAAAAATCTCAGTAGTAGGACGGAGATTAACGGAGTCTGGAATTATGGCCGGTATATGTATAGGCTCACCCCCTATTACATGGGACTAATAACATAAATAGTGAAAAGTGGGTATTACTTCTGTGTGTACCTCTGCCTACCCCTTCGGGAATAAAAGGCGTGATGTTAGCCTAAAAATGTCAGCCTGTCGGTCAGTCCTTTAATGAAGCTATTCACTAGTTACAAAGTGTAGATTTCTATGGAGAAGAACGAGTAAGAAGCTCCATAGATTTGGTACTGTTTTTTAATCAGATTGACAATACAATTATTGGTTACTGTTAGGTAGAAAATATACAAATAGTTAATACTCACTTTTCGTTGGTTTGCATAGGAAGCATTTAACGTTAATTCAGACTACACTACTTGAATTTAAAAATCTGTAACTTTGATATTCTTGCTCCACAATCATAATTTGCTAGTAATCTCTCAACCGAACCAGTTTAAATAATTATACACCGTGGTATTTTAATGGTTGTTTTCCCACAGTAAAATGATTCTATTTTAGTAGTCCAATAGATTGAGAAAGTTATTTTTAATTTAAATAAAAAAAATAGCAGTTTTACGATAGTGATACACGAAACTTGAAAGAAACCGCGAACCAATAGTACCGCCGCGAACGGTCACCGGCCGCTGTCATTGTCGCTCGCGCTTATCAAAAGGCTAATAACTCAGTATTAACTAACAAGTGATTTCCATTTTCCCTTCATACTTTAACGGGCTTAGGGCCGTCGTAAATACTTTTTAACTACACTTACTAAACACAAACATAAACAAAATTTAATCAAGAGATATTATCTTGTTTATTACTGAATTTGGGAAAGTATTAAAGGCGTATTTAAAAAATGGGAATCAACGTATTTACAATGATTTTAATCATCTATCTTATTGTTTTATTTACAAATGTACAAGTACTTACACTTCCCGGTAACGGAGCAATTGTTCAAAGTGTAAGCCACCGCGTTCCACACACAATCGTGCACGTTTTAACTGATTGGCTTTCAATTTTAATAATGTGTCTCTGTCACGTCTAATCACATCAAAAGCGTCCACTATCGCACTTTTTAACGCGTCGCGAGTTTCGTACTCTTGCCGATACACAAGGCGTTTGAGATTAGACCACAAATAAAAGTCTAGTGGAATAAGATCCGGGCTTCGTGGTGACCATGGCACTGGCCCGCCACGACCGATCCAGCGCTGAGGAAACACCGAGTCGAGGTGCTCTCACACGGCGCGCTGATAATGCGCAGGGCACTGCTAACGGAATGTCATCTAGTAATTCCGTGATAACACTACGTAGCATTTGTAGGTACGTTTCACCGGTTAAGTGTCCTGTCACAAAATGCGGACCAATTAAGCAGCCGTTTATTATACCGGCCCACGTAGGTACATTAGAAAAAACGTAATGGCGATCCATTTTGGCGGCAACAATATTGTATTGCGCTTGCGTGGTTGCGCAGACGGCGTTCGCGGTGCGACTGGTGCGAATGAAAGCCATGCGAGACGATGCGAGACGATGCGAGTGACAGAGAGCGCGGTGGTTGCCTTTGTTGTTTGTCGTGAGGCGATCCGCTCGCGCGCGCGTGCATTGCAGTTTATGTTGTAATATTTAGTACGAGAGATTATTTTACTATGAACATTGATTTGACGTCACATTTTAGAAGAGAAACTATCGTTTCTCATGCTTTCGAGTTGATGATTATTTTTTTGAGTAGATGAGGAGAAAAAAAAATATTTTTTCAAAAAGTAACTTGCATTATTCGATAGTACTACTAAAGGGAAATCGTTCTGCTGCGGGAAAACAACCATTAAAATGTCAGCGTGTATACATATTATATAAGAATTTGTTTAGATAAAACTGTAACATTAGTCATTCTCCTTCCAGGTGGACACTCAAAGTTCCCAATGCAGTGTAATGGATGTATCCTCCACAAGTCAAGCGCTAGTGTTCGGTGATCAATCCGGACATCTTCACTTGTTCTCCCCTCAACACAACCATGAACCAGTGTTTAACAACTTTTCCAGGTAAACCTTATAAAATGAGTGTTGAGTCTAAATATACACTATAAATGAAATACTTTAATATGAATCAAAATTTTATCAATAAATTATCAGAAAATTGGTAGCAAATCATATTGTCTTCATATTTAATTGCCAACAATCGGAAAATTTTAATGTCATTGGTCACTATCTTTATTATTTTGATTACAATACAATCCTTATTAATACTTTTAATGTAAAAGTTTGTCTGTATGTTCAACGGATTGGCATAGGCATCCCACAAAAAAATATTTTTCATTATTCTAACTAATAATATTTTTGTCCCCAGAGCAACAGAGTTCGCGGATCAAGTGTTAGGTATTCCATACGTTGGGTTCAACGACACCACATTCCAATTCTCCACTGTTCCACTACCTCCCCTAACTTCGGGCACCAAATGGTTCAACGAATTACCTGAAGAATTCTTCAAGAGAATATACAGGTGTTTGTTTATTAGACATCTCTTTATTTATGTTTGTTTTGTCATATACAATTTTAAAGTTATCGTTTTATACAGGAAACCGAAACAGATAGATCCAGAAGTACTTAAGTCTATGAAAATGCAGGGGCCTATTGGATATGCGCCGAATCCTAGATCTTTTAAAAGGAATCAGGTAATTGATTCTCATTACATAGAATTATTACGTATTTAAAAATATTGTTACTCTTACGCCCTAATACTGAAAGGCATCGTACCATCTCAGGGCATTAAGTCCGCCATTCACTGTTATGTTTTGTGAAGAAGAAAATAAATAAATTTGTAGTGAAAGAACTATAATTAAGCGCGACTTAAAATTGGCAACTTGCCAACAAGTCAAATTCAATACTTTTTTCGAACTGTCAAAAACGACAGTTTTTTATGAATTTTGTACGAGTCTTTGTATTGTGACGTCACGTTTTTTAGCGTCAAACAACATACTTATTTCTTAAAAATTGATATTTATATGCAAATTAATGTGATTATTTTTCAATATTTTATTGTATTGAACAGTCAAAATAATTTATTTTTGATTAAGGCAAGTAAGTTGAGTGGCGTTTGAGTATTTCAGCGTTAGTGAAACTTGTCGAATACTTTACAGATGCCGTACATAGAAGATAATTTCGACGATTTGAATTCTTCGAGACAGAATGAAAATAAATATGTCGCGCAACCCATTCCTAAGCACTATCAAAAGGTAACACTTCATTTCTAAATTAACTTGGCTTAACACTTTGTTTTACTTCTGCGATATTCTGTCTGTAACAATTTTTCAGTGCATATTGTAAGTCCTTTACATTGTTTTTTTTATATATTGTATTTGATGGGCCGACGTTTGACTATTATCTCGCCTGATGGTAAGCGGTGATGCGGTCTAGGATGAAGCACGTACACCCATAAGCAACCTTTTCACTCGTGCCTTGAAGACACCTACCTAGGCCTACCATTAAGGAAATACAGACTTGCTAAGAATTCCACACAAAACTTACATTGTAAAACAAATTATCCAGAATTTACCCAATTTTGTACCTAGTTGACATTTAAAAACCTATAATGTATTATTATATTCTACTTTGACTTACATCCCAAATCTCGTACATGGCTATATATGACTAGAATTGTTTTTACAGATAGACATACGCTACAACAAACACGGCCCGAACGAGGAGCTAGAGAAGCTGAATAGAACAGGTCTTCCAGGGTTAGAGACTACGTTACCTAACTCATATTGCAATTCTATGTTGCAGGTAAACTAATTGACATTAATTTTGTACACAAACTTTATATTTACAATAGATATGTAAAAGATGTACACACGATTGTTTATTTGGTAGTAATTGTGGGCTATGCTGTAGTCAGCCTAATCAATGAAATAAATATACAAAAAATAAGATAAGGTGTGTGGTGTCGGCAGAGAAAAATACTCTTGCCATCCACCCCTGCTCCTCCCCTAGGTTTTACAAGACCTAAACAATAGACTACACAATGACAGAAATCAAGATCATTTTGATGTCTTTGATAAACCTTTTAAGTTGTGATTTTTTAACTTCAAAAATATAAATTTAAAAGTGAAGCTAATTGCTCATTCTAAGGTGTAGATTCCTATGGAAAAGAAGAGAAGAGCTCACTTCTCAAGTGAGCTCTTATTTGTCGAGACGATTTTCTTGCGCCGACCCGATATCTAGTTGTTATTGTTAATCGAAGAGAGGAGGCCAGCAATTGGCTGGATGATAGCACAATAGCGTGTTTATTCAGACTTCAACACAAAATGATGTGCAGTCACTTCTTCATAAACAATAATGTGTACGTTTCTAAGTTTTAAGCAGACAATACTAGATTATAAGCCACAACTTTTTTCAGGTTTTATATTACACATTGCCGGTTAAGGCGACCCTCTTAGCACATACATGTGCCAAAGAATTTTGTCTCAGTTGCGAATTGGGTATGCTCACTTTTTATTTAATAATATTATTTTGTAGGCTGTTTAAATAAAAACAGGGAAGATTTTAAGTCAACTGAGGGATGGAATCTATGTTTTTATTCATAGCTTACTTATGTGTGTATAGCTTATTGTTGGTCGAATTTTATTTTGGGATAGTACTTGAAAACTTGAAACTCTTGGTGTGCGCAATGATATGACGTTTAATCAGGCACATAGTAAAGCAATGGATACGGAAGAAGTATACTTATATCAAAAATGATAATAAACATTTGATAAACAGCAGAAATCCAACTCCAAAGTAATTTAGTAACTTTAACATACTCATAATATATGGACTCTCTTTTACTTCTCGTAAACAAACTGATACTCTTCATAAACACAAAAAAGTTCCAATAAAAATAAGATTCGACCAAACCTACCAAACATAAAACTACACGACTCTTTAATAAAAACTTTGTCTTTAAAATATTTCAGGGTTCCTTTTCAGAATGTTAGATACGTCTGGTGGTGCGCCGTGTCAGGCTAATAACTTCCTTCGCGCGTTCCGTACTGTGCCTGAAGCGGCCGCGCTGGGGCTTATATTGCCTGATAGAGGACCGGATTCCAGGGTCGATTTGGTTGCTTTAATACAGGTATACTTTACCTTTATTTATATTGGGATAGAGTTCAAGTTTGTTTGTTTGAGTTTAGTCATAATTTTGTCTGATAGAGTGATAGTTATTACAATGACGGTGAGATGTGATTTTTGTGCAAGTAACGCGTACATAAATGCGCAGAAGCTGCTCTTATCTTATGCCAGAAAGAATGATAATAATTTACATAACATCACGCCTTTTATCTCCGAAGGGGTAGGCAAAGGTGCACATTATACCACTGTACAATGTAACACCCAGTTTTCACTATTTATGTTATGAGTCCCATGTAATAGGGGGTGAGCCTAATGCCATGTACCTGACACATTTCCGGAATCCGTGCTACTACTGTGTTTTTTTAAAAACCCAGTAATACTTTGCCCGACCCGGGAATCAAACCCGAGACCCCCTGCCCGGCGGTCGCACTTGCGACCACTCGGCCAGCGAGGCAGTTGATAATAGTTTACTAAAGATTTTTTCTATGCAAGTCAATCTTATAGTGGCCGACTTTAAAATCAGGACAATGTTTTAAGTCAACAAGAAAGTCTTAAGTCTAGGCCACAGTAATATTTCCATTATAAGTACAACATCTATTTACTGTCTGACCAATCAACCCATCAATAATACTTTCTAAATTCATCAAAATTGCAATTTACAAAAAAGAAAGTAAAAAGCCAATTAAACATTACAGTCCTTACCCACAGAGTTGGAATCGCTTCATTCTGCATCAGATTCACTACGAAATACTGGAAACTCGTAAAAAGGAGAAAGCTCTATTAGTGAATAGTCCACCGAAACCCGTGCGGATGCCAGCTGTGAACGTAAAGAGACCTGCTCCTCAAGGGAACCAGCTCAATGGGCAGTTTTCTGAGGAATATCAGTATACGGAGCTGGAGTTCTTGGGACCGGCTACCGAGTTTGAGGGTAGTGAAGAGCTGAGGGAAGAAGGGTGGACAGCTCGGGAGGATGGTGAGTTCTTTTATACCTATCTCCTTTAAATTATGGTATGGAATGTTGGTGGCTTTTTTAACGGAGGGAAACCTTCAAAAGAAAAAATACGTGTCCAATGTATTAAAATAATCTACCAGACGGACATTAAAATAAAATTTAGGATACTACCCTACTGATACAAGACAGTATTGTACCATCAAACTTTACCTATCGTTAAATATTAGTTAGTATTAGACTGGATACTACAAACTAATTATTTTAATTTTTAATTTATCATATCCAGTAGCGATCTTGTTTGGACAACCTGACTATGGAGGTAGGTGGTTATTGTTATACAGATAACGATCAGTCCATACACAATCACATTACTTAATTTTTTTTTCATCTAACGCTAGCTCCAGATATTCAAAATCATTATGGTTCTGTTAAGAGGTAAAAATATATTTATGACACGTTTTGTATTTTAGTTTGACTCATCTGCATTTTAGTTTAATTTCGTTTCTACTACACCTCTTTTGTTTCAGTCATTTTTTTTTAGAGTACTCAGAGGGCTTATGTACGGCTTTACGTTTTACGACATCGAAATGCGACCGCGGTGCCCTGATTGGTTAGTTGATTGGAACTGACCAATCAGAGCGCGCGAACGCGGTCTCGTTTCGATCTCGTTAATCATAATTTCATAAAACAAAGTTGTACATGACCTCAGATAGAAAACGCTGAACTCACCTGATTTTTAAAAGATTCACGTGTAGTTTGTAGTTGATTTACTTATTGAATAATTATATGTAACTAGCAAGCCCGGCGAACTCAGTTTCGCCACCAGATGGCTTCGTTTTATGTAAAATTTCGTTTGGTGATTAAAAGATGAAGAAAAATTGTTTTTCCTGAATTTTCTATAAACCTCACGGTGCCCGAGACCTACCCAACGAATGCTAAACCGTGGAAATCGGTTCGTGCGTAATAAAACTCGAGAAGTCGGTTGCACAAGTGGTGGTTTTTACTTTTTTATTTATACTATAGACAAAATAGAGCACAGTACATAGACTATAGAGATACATGCAGTGATGCATAAATTAGTAAACTATTATTTTGATATAATATAGAACAGTGCGTTCTGGAGTTATAGCGTCAGGAAGGAAAACCCGACTTATTTTAATTTTTATATAATAATAATAATAATCATTTATTTCAGACCATGTCCATATTCTTGTTAGTAACATTGAACTTAAAAACTAATGTTAGTACACATTACATATATGATTTAATAGGTCAATATACAAGAATATACAATATACAAAAATAGATACAGACAGGACAACACAAAATCATGTCATTAATTACTTATAATATTTAATTTAATTTAACTAAAATGTCATTGTACTTACATAGATGTATATAGTAGATTTATCACTGCGAATGAAATACAAGTATGTTCTCTTTCATAATATAAAGTTACAATATTAATTACAACCAAGTCTATCAAAAAACTACCAGGTGCAGGTGATGCAGATTCAGTTCCAGTTGATAATCATGAGCTGCCAACTAACCAGCAAGCAGATAGAGAAGAGTCAGAGATATCACAACTCTTCGCCATCGGGAGACACCAGCTCAACCGGTGTATGAAGTGCAACAAGGAGGTTGGTTACCGTTTTTTTTTATGTGATGGGCCTACGATGGAGCACGTCGTTCCATAAGGAACCTATTCACTCGGACCATAAAGATTGTTATACTATAAATACGGTACGGTACAACTATAAATACGGGCAGTTCCTATATCCTATTTTCTGATTGTTCAATAAAAATTGAACTAAGCGTTCTCGAGTTTTGTGCTTAGCGGGTTAGATAGTAATTAATTCAATGTTTTTTATAAACATAAAAGCACAGTACAAGATTCAATATGTATATCAAATAACATCACGCCTTTTATCCTTGAAGGGGTAGGCAGAGATGCACATTACGGCACTCAATGCCACTGTACAATGTAACACCCACTTTTCACTATTTATGTTAACTCTCATGTAACAGGGGGTGAGCCTATAGCCATTACCGGGCACAATTCCAGACTTAGTGTTACTACCGAATTAAAAAAACAGTAATAATAATCACAAAACCTAACTTTGTTCTTGTATTAAATTTTATGCAATTTGTCGTCAGGAAGGCCGGGAATCCGTAGTGTTGGCCTGCGCTCTCCAGTATCCCACAGCAGTCCGGGAAGGTCCGGAGCCCCGCGGTGGGTTCTTGGAACTAGTTCGCGCGTCACTAGCGGCGCGACGTAGTACGCCGGCGTGGTGCGAACATTGTTCCAGGTTTACACCTACTGTACAACGGGGGAGAATCGTTAGGTTAGTGTTTTAGCTTTATTAGTAGTTTCATTTCGATGACAATAGAAAAATGATTTTTGAGGTAGAAAGAAAATAGAGACGATGAGAGAGAGAGAGAGAGAGAGAAGTTCGTCACTTAAACTCTTCTCATGGGTATTGTTTCCTGACTACATGAAATTCTCACTTTTTGTTTATCTCATTTGGTGTGATTGGTTAAAATGTATAGATTTTCTATAAATTTTCTACAAATATTTCAGCGATTCATTGTTATTGTTGTGAAAGTTATAGATTTTATATTCCGTTATAAGTAAGAACCCATTTACCTGTTTATATATACCTCATTTTTGTCGATATTCCAGATTGCCACCGATACTAGCAATCAATTGCGGTGGTGCTACAGTTCGAGAGAAGGCGTATTGGGCTAAAGGAGTCCAGAAAGAGATGGTGAGAACATTAATCATGACATTAAAAAAATTTAAACTGACATAAGTCCGTGCACTGGTCTTCTTATAAGATCTTTTGGTTATGTACCAGGACTTGTCTCAAGCTTAATTTTAATAATCAATTAAATACTTTCGTTAATCAAAAATAAATTATTTCGACTGTTCAATACAATAAAATATTTAAAAATAATCACACTTCCATTTAATTAATTTTATGACCAACAAAGTATTTATCCAGCATTTTTTTTAAGAACTAAGTATGCTGTTTGCCTCTATCAAAACATGAAATCAATAAATTAATTTTATGACCAACTTCATTGTAGTATTTTTCTAGCAATTTTTAAAAAATAAGTACGCCGTTTGACGCTAAAAGAAGGTGACGTCACAATTTTTTTTTTCTTTTTCTTTTTTTCTTTGTTGAAAAACTTTGTTGAGCATAAAATCATAATGAAATTGTGGTTATTTTTTAATATTTTTGTTGTATTGAACAGTCGAAATAATTTATATTATTATATGATTAAGGAAAGAACCTAATTAAACATTAGTTATTTTTTTGATAATAATACTAATTTGACTGACAAGATCTTGCTTGCCTCATTAGTGTCTTTTAACGGTGAAAAAATTAATGTTCTTTTTTCGTAAAAACAGACGCTTTTACTTGTATTTGTTCTCAACTGTACTGTAAACGTACTAATCCAGTATGATCCTTAGATTTGTAGTACTTATTTGTCATTACATTGTTATATGATGAAATGTATGTTTAAGCCGGAGATGAAGCGAGGTGGCGGTGGTAAGCCGTGTCGATATGGACTACACTGCGCTCGACCAGGCTGCCATTTTAAACACCCAGAAAGGTGAGAAAGCTACTGTTTCATTTAATGTATTATTTAAAGTAATTGTTACATTACTGTGACATATCATTAACCCTTAGACTGCCATGTCAGTCACCGGTGCCTGAAGCTAGTGGAGGTTTGACTTTCATCGTTTTAAAGTTGGCAGTTAAAGTATTAAGTTAAATTACTGCCGACAAAAACTGTTAAAAGGTAATCCTCCGCTAGCATCAGTCATGTTTATCAGACAGGGCATCCAATGTGTTAAATAATGTTTATACAGCCTACTTATTTAGTTGTACGACGTGACTACTCAGGCAGTTCATGTTTACAGGCCCCGGTGTCAGGGCTCGTAAGAAAACTGTGATGCAATGTCGCATCCCAAAAATGTGCGAGCTACCTCTACGCATCGCAAGAACTTGCGAATTGATTCGCATCGCGCATCAAATTCTTATCTTCCCAAAATCTTCTTTGTTTCTTTTTCCTGTATCTCCTAAGCAATAACAGAAGTGCACACTTCTTTTTACGATCCATGTCACGACCCAGTTTTCAATTTAAAATACATTTAGTACGATTGACGGTCGTCGAAGGAATGGTCACCTTGCCTTGTCGCACGAAATCGCATCGCAGCAATTTGCATCGCAGTTTTGTGTACAAGTCCTCACTTAAACTACTCAAAGCAATTCGGAAACTTTCGAAAGAGCTGTATTAACGTTCTTATGTCATTGTAAAATTCTTGGAAATAAGTGCAACTTTACACTTTTTCTTTATCTGATATGAATATTTTTCAGGCCTAGTCCCCAAGCAGGGTCATCAAAGACACCTGCGCAGGAATCAAACTGCGTTTTACCGCAACAGCTACTTATAAGACTGCAATCTGATGGTGACGTTGTAATTAATGATAAGGTCAGTATAATATTTGCACAAAAAAATCTTACTTTGAGTGCATTTACATTGTGGTCGCTTATGATGAATCATATCTTTTCAAAATATTTTTGTTCATATATTAATTACATATTTCTATTAATAATCAAACAATTTTTACAAAATTTTTAGAATCTAGATTTCTACAAAAACATTTCTGGCAGCGGTGGGATTCGAACCCACGCCTCCGAAGAGACTGGTGCCTTAAACCAGCGCCTTAGACCGCTCGGCCACGCTACCCGTGGACGTGGAGTCGAATTTTGTCATCCCGTGACTAATGGGAACAATTTTTTTTATAAAAATATTTTTTTAGACGTGGCAATAAAATATTAAAAGTGTTAAATACAAAACGATAGGTAATAAATTGATGCCTCGAACAGTTTTGAATACATTATCTTTATATTTTTCTTCCAACACGTCCGCTTTTGACCAGTATTAGTGCAAACTAGTACAGCACACTAGAAACATCAGACTAACTCCAAAAATATGATTATTTATCCTACATATCGCTACGGATGTCAGATGTCAGACATCATAAATTTCTTTTAACACTTTTATCGTGTTTTTACTTTTAACCTACGCATCTATTTTTAGGTGGAATCCCCAACAGACCCACACACACCGAACAATAGGGCTGACAAGCATAAGAAAAAGAATGTAACTACACAATCCGAAGAGGAATACACCCTGTCCGCAGCCGTAGTCTGTATTGAGGACAACCCTAAGAACTTGGTCGCGTACATACAGACTGCTGGGAAGGATGTCGAGCCTGTTTGGTACTTGTTCAACGATTTGAGGTGAGAAATTAGCTTCATGATATTATAATTCTGTCCTGTAAATGTGGTAAAATATCGTCATTATCACACTTTTTATCCCCAAAGGGGCACATTAATTGTAAATAAATTGTAGAGTGGTATAATGTAACACCTTTTTTCACTATTAATGTTATGAGTGGGGGGATGAGCCTATTGCCATATACCGGGCACAATTTCAGACTTCGTGCAACCACTGAGAATATTAAAAAATACCCTGTAATATATTGCTAGATCCAGGAATCGAACCCAAGACCCCTTGCCAAGCAGTCGCACTTGCGACCACTCGGCCAACAATGTAGTCAGTCAGAAGTGATGAAATATTAATGAATCATTAAATATATGATTTATGCAATTAGATCATACGTTTATGGCAAGGAGTATCTACTAAATATCACAAACAATAGTCTTCCATATTTATCGAAACCGGTGAATTTATAAGAATAAGTTGACCCACAGACTTCGTTGTATGTTTTTTGTTAGAATTTTGGAAATGTTAGTTGATATTTTAATGAATATAAAAAACAACAAAGAAATCGATCTACCCATTTTCGAATTTTATGCTTAGCAACGTATTTTATTGTGTATGTACTAAGTAGACCATATCAGATATTATAAGACGTAACATAATATAACATCACGCCTTTTATCCCTAAAGGGGTAGGCAGAAGGGCACATTACGGCACTTAATGCTGCTGTATAATGTAACACCCATTTTTCACTATTTATTTTGGGCCGAAACACATAACCACGTTGCGTCGCCGCAACGCTAAAATCGGCAGTTCCAGCATAGCAGAGCAATGTCTTTTTAATAACAAATAAGCAATAAGTTCTTCACGATGGTCCATGGCAGAGACACGTCTATCCACAATAAAAAATCACGACGAACTGGTTACCCCACCGAACGACAACAAAACGCTCTTTTTCACGACGCCGCAACGCAAACTACCGATTAACGCCGCAACGCAAACCGCAACGCGGTTATGCGTTTCGGCCCTAAGTCCCATGTAATAGGGGGTGAGCCTATTGTCATATCAGACGATATCTTGTAAGGAAACCAGAATATATGTAAATCATTTTTGTAACTATGATTTCAGTATTGTCCCAGTGAGTGCAGACGAGGTGGTACAGTTCGGCGCGTGGTGGAAGACTCCGTGCGTGTTGTTCTACACAGCCGCCGCGCGCGCCCCGCCGCCGCGCTCATAGCACGCGCTACTGTATGGACCGCGGGGCTACGGGTGAGTTGTATCGTTGGTAATACGAGAATCTGATGATAGCACTATATTATACCTTCACCCTGTCGCGTAGAACCTAACGGTTACCGGGGCTCCGGCTCGACGTGCAGGAGAACGAACGGGGTGGTTTTTAGTCAGTAAGAGTCTGACACCCCCTCCCGCCTCACCCAGGCGGGAGCAATCATTCGATGATTTTCCCCCTTAAAAAAGTACCTTCACCCTAAAAGTCAATTCTAAAAGTCGTCATTGGTTCTTTACATCCTGTAACCAAATCATTGATTTCATATTACATCACTAAAACGTCTGAAAGTCGTCATTGGTCGATGAATTACGCTTGTCCAAATTGTAGATCCCTATCCCTATGGATAATTTAACACAGGAGACAACAATACAATACTTTTGTTATAAGTCAGATCTCGATTACGAAGGAAATCAATTTTCTATAGAATTACTTTAGTTTATTACCAAAATTATTTCCGTGAAACATGTGCTTTTAGACTGTAAATAACAATTTTCATATATCCCTAAACACAAATATCCCTCAAAA